CAATGATAAAAAGAAAGTAAACTCATTACTGCTTAAATTGGCATAAAGAAGTTCAAATAATGCCTTTATTGACTGGAAAGTAATTTGGGCTTCTCAAGTTTATAGCAATAATGGAGGCATAAGGCTATTTGAAGTCTTTAGCATAACAAATACAGAGGCTGCCTAACATTCCAACATCTTAGAAACTTCTGGAAGGTGTAGGTAAGCTTGAACATATGCAGGAAAAGAGATTCCTCTTTTTGACAAAGACAACAATGGAAGATTTCACTTTCTAATTAAGTAGATAGCCTAGCTGACTGCCAATATATTATAAAAGGAAACACAGAAAAATGGATATATTCTAAACATGCAAATTTCAGCAAGATTAATAAAAAATGAAAAACAGATTTAGAAAAAAATTACAAAGATTACTTTCAACTGGACAAAATATAACCCAAGATGTATATTTGTAAAATCCAAACAAAGCTAGAAGCTTAAAGACTGAAAAGCATTATATATCAAAACTGACTCCAAATATATACAAGATATGCTCAGGATATGAATATTTATCACAAAAGCATGTGGGCACTACTCACAAAGTCTTTGTACCTTAACTGGTAAGGCTACCAACCACAAGGGATTAATACACACACTCACATATAAATGCTCATGCATGATTCCTAAATCCAAATGAAAATAGCCAAAGAGAAACAGAGAAAGCAGGCAGAAACCAAAACACAAGGGAAAAAAGGGTACAAACTTTTCTGGGAGAAAAGATAACAGATAGCATTGAACAAAAAAAGGAATCAAAGCACTAACAAAGATAGAATACTTTAAAATTACAAACTGGGAACCAGTTTTGCGTTGCAACAGAACGGACGCAGGAAGGAGGGCTCTGCCTTCCATGCCCAATTTCACCCTGCTGGGGCCCTGAAAAGGGCCTAAAGTTGCCCCGAAGAGGCAATGAAGAAGGAGGGGTGCCTTGTTGATTCCAGAGAGACGGCTATAAATACATACTGAGCTTGGACTCTTAATCTCAAGAGCTAGTGGGAAAGAAAGAAAATTTTGACTTTTGAATTCGTCTGGCTGCAGGGAGGTTAAACATTTTGAACATTGGAACACTGTGGATTACAACCTTGCCTGACTGATAATTTTCAGGATATATGAGACAAAGGATTACTATAAAATTTTGCCATTAGGACTGGATTATAAAGGCTACATATAAAGACTAGAAAACTAGAGGAAACTTTGTTCCACTCTTATTGAGACTGTTGACACTAGAGGATTTCTAGGAATGATGCCTCAAGAAAAAACAAATACCTTTCAGAAGGAAATATTCTCCATGCTACAGCTAATTCATCAAACAATTGTTACACACAAAAAGGACATAAAAAGAAACCATAATGAGACTAAAAATAACCTAGATGATATAAATGACCAAATCTCCAAATTGAAGCTACAACTGGAAAGCTCCCAGATAACGACTACAAAGTATGAACAAATAAACCAGAAACCAGAGGATGAAGCAGAAGAAACGGACCTATAGATGGAGGAGATAGGAGAAGGGAAATATGGACTGCCATACACAAATAAAATACTGCAAGACCTACCTATAACAATGAAAATACAAAAGATCTCTTACTCCTTTCTCCAAAATACACCTGATGACAAGGAAGAAAATTCTAGAAAATGGAACACAGAATCGGCAGGGGAAATGTTTAGGGAATGTGGATGGGCGGAGTTCCCCCCAAAAATACTCTACCTAAATTGTCTTCTTTATGTCAAGCAGCTTTCACAAAAACAGCTTTTACAAAATTTTGGGGCGATTTAATTGCCTTGGCCCGGAAAGCTACTTGGCAAAGAAAGAAAGCGAAAGTTAGATTTAAAAAACAGAGGATTTGATCTATTAGAGGGGGGCACTATCTGTTTAATATACCTGTTTGAATACGATTAAAAGAATGGATGACCCTTAGATATAACTAGATTTTTATAATGGAAGATATGATTTAGAATTAAAATAGCATTTTTTTTTCTTATTTTGATATGGGAAATCTGAAAATAAGAGGAGGATTGGTATGAATATTTTTTTAGCTATATAAATGTAATTAATATTGAGAAAATTATAAACGACAAAGATACTTTAAATATTGATGTTAAATCAAACTTTAATAAGAGCCTGAAAAACAGGATATTGACTTATAAATTGATATTATTTGTATAATACTAGTAAAATATGATGAAGATGTCTATATCTAATTTTGTATACATCAATAGTACCAAGAATTATAATTGCCTAATGAGAGGAAAATGGAAAAATATGCAGAAGAAAGATCAAGGAAAAAATACTGGATTATGTAGTACTGAATAGATTTATATTGAAGAAGTTAATGTTAAATATGTGAAGCCAGACAACATGTTGTTTACTAAGCTCTAAAGATTGTAATTTTTTAAAAAAAATTAATAAAACTTATAAAATAAAATTACAAACTGAACTCAAACCAGTTATATTAAACTGCTCAGCAATAGGGGCATTATAAATATTATCTTATGAGAGATCGAAGTTGAGGCAAGTGAAAAAAATAGCCAAGATTATCTGAAGGTGGGTTATAACCCAGTTCTCTAAGTATGGCAGTTCCAATCAATCAATCTGAAGAATTTTCTTTATTCCAAGTTGTGTTTTGTTTCATTCATTCATTCCTAATTAAATTTATTGGCCACCCAACTCCAGCAGATCCTGGAAGGCATGCATAACTTGAAAAAAACCCTAAAAACAGCTAAAGCTAAAGACTAAAACAGCAACAACAAATTCAACAAAATAAAACAGGGTCCATTAAACAAATGTGGACATCAACCTCAGGCACGGGACCAAAGACAAGTTTTCAAAGCTTTCTGAAAACCTAGGAGAGCTAGCATTGCCTTTACACTGTTTCAGACAGTAAAAGACACAATAGAGAAGGCACTATTTCCTAGATTCCACAAGATGGCAATGTTTAATGGAAGTGACCTGAAGCACACACTTTGCTGAAATGTACTGGATGGGCAAGTAGTACTTGGAAACAAGTAGTTTCTCAGATATCCAGGCCCTATGCCATACAGAGCTTTAGAAGTAAAAGCCAACACCCTGAATTGCACTCAGAAGCCCACACAGCTCACATAGCAGTGATGACATACATCATACATTGCCACTTGGGGTAGAGATGTAGAGCTGGGTAACATCAGCATAGTGATTTTATCATACCCTCAACTTCCGGATGACCTAAACCAGTGGCTTCATATAGATATTGAATATGAGAGGAGAGAGCATTGAGTCCTGAGGCACCCTGCATGTGAGGAGCTGCGGATGTGATCTTTCTCTACCTGTCAACACCAATTGGAACTGACCACCACGGAAGGCAGTGAACCACTAAAGCACAGTAACTCCCACTCCCTAACCCCCACAGCCAGTCCCGAAGGATACTGTGGTTGATATTATCAGTTACAATTTCATGTAAAGAGTCAACATAAATTTAATATAAACTGTATTAATGGTACATTTAATTGCTAGAAATTGCTTGGAGAAATGCTGGAGAGTTGGGAAGCTGACAACAGTTCAGAGTTGACCCAACTTTCTTGGTAAACTTGAAATTCAGATACTATTCTATCCAATCATCATTTGGGCTTTTTTAAAAAAAATACCTTCATTTTATTTAAGAAAACTAAACAAAGAGAAAACAAAAAAACTGTCAAGAAAAGGACAACAATAAGTGTGCATGTATGTGTGTCTTTGTGAGTGTGTAGGCTTCTCACACATAGTGTATATGAGATGTAATACTTAAGAATAAATTTCAACAATGCAAAATTACAATATTGATACTTTGAATAGGAAGTCATATAACATCCACGCAATGAACTAGTGATTGCTAGCCGAACCATCAAAACTATTATCATAGTACATGCATCTTTTTATTTCATCAGAGAGAGTAACGGATTGGTTGCTTCCAATAATAAGCAATAACCTCACTCCTGTCCCCAAATCCTTAAAACCTTTTCTATTCTGCCCCATATACAATATATAACTCTCTTTGTACAGTATAAACAAATAAGATGAATGGGAATATAGACCAACGGTGTGCAAAAAAATCATGCTTCAAGTTCAAAAGCTTCATTTGAAGTTCAGAGCAGGGCCTTCAAACAAGTTACATTCAGCCACTCCAGAAGTGCTTTGAGTTTGAGCTCAAACATGTTTTTTGAGTTCTGAATATTTTTGGCATGGTCAGAGCACTTGGTTATTGGGTCAAAGTGTTTGGGGGTTTGAAATATTTTGTGCAATTCTAAATATAAGCATGCACATTCAAACATTTCACCTCTTGATATCAATTTTCTTCTTTATCCAGTCAGAGATAAGAGTTTAGGTACAGCTGCAATTCTGGACATGTTTACAACTTTTGCATTACTTTATGAATATGGGATGAAGGCATTCTGTATTTCCTACATTAAAATGTGCATTGCCATATTGTTTAACTTTCAATTATTAACTATTAATCATGCAAGAGATTGGAAAAGAGAATATTGTTCCTGGATTGCCTTTTCTTAACTTTATAGAAATTAAAAGAAAATTTGAGCTATGAAAGCATAAAAGAAAACGCACTTCACAAGAAAATAGTCTATTTTTTTAAAATCACACAAATACTTTTCTTCCAATCCTAAGAAATAAGGTTTTTGGATATGAATAATAAAATTATATTACTTTCAGAATTATTTCACGAGGCCAAACTCTTACTATGTAACATGGTAAACATCAGCACAGAGCTTCTTTATTTTGACTTTCATGTTAAAGTGTATAATTTGAAGGGATATATATGTTACAGACTTGTAATTTAAAATCTAAAAGAGTGATGGGGGAGGGATATCCAAATAAAACGAGACAGCCTGTATCCCACTGAAATTATTTAAATAAGCTCAATGATTTTTTTAACTTCTTGAAAACAACAGATTAAAATCTTGTGCATTTTTATCTCAAATAATAACTAATGTTAACTTACCAGTTTAATTGCCACATATTCATTAGTATACAAATTTTTCCCTTAAAAAATAAAAAAAAAACAGGAATGTTAGAATTTATACCTCTATATATAAGAAAATTCATCCTTAGTCAAATTATCTTCAATGAAAGTATAAGCAAAAAAACAAACATATTTTAATAGCTTATGCAAAAATGGCATGCATTAGTTTACAGATCAAAACACACTAATATAATTCAATCTTTTGGCTTATCTTTTTATTTCAATGTCTGAACATTATTTTAATATTCTTTTACTTGTGCTCATAGTAGCTAACAATTTAATATATTCAAATGTTACCTTATAGTTAAAACATAACAGTGCACATCTTAAAACAATGTTTTCAATTCTCACTTTTCTTCCATAATACATAAAGGACCCTCTCTTCCCCTTTTCAGAGTTATGTGGGAGCTTGAAAATCTGAATATTAGGATTTGTAGGAATGAGTGAGAGGGGAGCATAGATGAAGAGTTCTTCCATTATGTTAATGGAAGAACAAGCCACAGCAAGTACATTATTAATATGTACAATATTGTGCAAAAGTCTTAGGCCACCACTCACTTTGTTTTAATGACCATCCATAATTATTTCTCTGAAACAGAAAATATAGGAAATATGTACACAAAATTTAAACAAACACAGTTTTCAGAACAAAATGGCTTCTTCAGGCAAAATGTCAATATTTAGTGTGACCTCCCTTGGCTCTAAGCACATCTTGAACTCTTTTGGGAAGATTGTCCTGAGGTTTTCTGAGGTAATCTTCTGGTATATTATACCAGGCTTCTTTCAGCACTTCCCAGGGTTCCTCTTCAGATTTAGGTTGTCTTTTATTTCTTTCTCTGTCCAGGTGATAATATACTGCCTCTGGACTCTGTGGAGGCCAGTCCATGACTCTCAGTGCTTTATCTGCTGTTTTTCTTGCTAAATATGATTTAACTGTAGTAGCAGTGTACTTGGGATTGTTATCATGCTGAAAAATAAACCCATTCCCAATCGGGTGTTTTCCAGAAGGAATGGCATGATGAATTAAAACTTGTCTGTACTTTTCAGCATTCATGATCCCATCAATACGGACAATATCACCAATACCACTGGCAGAAATGAAGCCCCAGAAATGAAGCCCCAGGACAGACTTTCCATCATGTTTCATTGAAGGCCGCAAGCACTTATTTGTCCATTTCTCTCCAACTCTTCTTCTCACATATTACCAAAAATGTCAAATTTGGATTCATCACTCCATAACATTCTTTTCCACTGATCCTCAGTCCAGTTTTTGTGAGCTTTAGTATACCTTAGCCTTTTCACCTTGCTCCCCTTCTACAAAAGTGGTTTCTTAGCTGCTACTCTTCCATAAAACCATTCCCAATCAAGCTTCTCAGACTGTAGAGGGGTCAACTTGGCATCCTGATGAAGCTGCCGGATGCTGAGTCAGGTCCTTGCTGGACCTCTTCCAGTTTCTCAAAGAAGAAACTCTGAGGAACTACTCATAAGAATTTGGAAGTTTCCTTGGCCTTCCAGTTCTTTTTCTGTCGTTGAACTCTTCTGATTTCTCAAATTTCTTTATAACAATTTGAATACCATATCTTCAATATCCAGTTTGTTTGTTGAGAGTGGCCTTGCAAAACTATGATTTTATGTCTGTCACATTCTGTGATATTTGGCATTTTGACTGGAATTATGTGATTGAAAATAGTCTTATTAGCAAACTTCCAATGAATTACAGTCACACAACATGTGTATGTATTGAATGTAATGCTCAAGCATGTCTTGCACAAACCTGGTGTTACAGACCTTTTGGCATTTTGGCATTAAATAGTAGGACAGTAGGTGTTAGCAATGACAGCATGTAACTTTGCATCCCATTTAGGTTTATGGGAACCAAGTGTCTGCTGTTCCTCAAGTTTAGGGGACGTCACACTACATACCTGCCACTTTGGTCTATGGAAGCTGTTTTTTCTTGCTTTTTCATGTTTTTGAATATTGCATAAAAATTCCTGTATTTTCTGGTTGTATTCTAATAAGGAGATTGCCACATAATTATATATAGTCATTATACCATTGTTATACAACAGATCTAATTGGTGACCTAAAACGTTTGCACAGTACTGTATATTTTGTTATTGCCCCATGATTCTTTACGTAAACACAGGAATCAAGGTACTGACAGCAACTTGTTCATCTGAATTTCCAACTTTGATTCTGATTTTTTGTTATCAACAATTAGAAATAGTTACCTCCATCTCACAGGTAAGAGGCTGTAATTACTACATGATACAATAACTGACCTCATAATACTGACTTTCAATCATATAAACTCTCGTCCCCCTTAGCTTCACTAAATGACCATGGGTTATAATTATGAATAGAAAAGAAGAAAAAAACAGATCCCCAAACCCCTTTATTCTTGCTGATTTTAATTTTATATAACTCTATGTCAGTGTTTAATTCACTTTTGTTTCCGTAAACTATAAAGCTAAGTTATAAAGTCCTGAGGAGGCGTTGCAGTCCTCAATATTTGAAATTACCCATAGCTTCTTTAAATAATGTACATAGCTATCTATTTCCTTGTTTGTGAACTGCTCATTCATATGTCTAAAAACCTGCGGAAACTCAGAAGTAGCATCCCTGTCATCAGTTCTGGCATGACAATCTGGAGACATCAGGAGACAGCACTAACTTCCTTCATCCCTCCGTCCCTCCCTCCCACTTCAGCACTAAGAAAGCAACACCTCGGCCAGGTCCATGCAAGGCGCATGGCAATCACCTAGTCTTCCGAGCTCCAAGATGTGCCATGACTGCACACAGCAGAGGACTCAGCAGGGGACCACCAGCTGGTCTATTTTGAGTCGTAATCCAAAACTCACATATGTTTGCCTTCTAGGGGGTGCTACCCCCATGGAACAAGCAACTCCTTTGCAAGACCATATATGGCTGCTAGAAGGAGACAGTGAGTCGTGCCTGGCATGTAGAGCACCAGCAGACAGACTGGGGTGCCTATGGGAATGTCGGGCAGATTGAGACTGAAGTGACCCAGTATGTGGCGGCAGGAGAAGACAGCCAAAAGGAAAAGAGATTGGGGCAAATTGACAAGTGGGCCGAGTTGAAGCACGCTCTGTGCTTGTAAAAGCCAGAAGGCCACAAGTGCCCAAATTTTGATTGCAGGCCACTGCAACGATTGTAACTTTGGGGATGGTTATAACTATCATTTGTTTGGTGGTATCATAACTTGGAGTGGTTGTTAAGCAAAAACTAACTGCATAAAACACATAGCATCTCTACTAGGTCAAAATAGAAAGTTTTAGAATCAGGTTCAATGTAAGAATTCAGCTATTTATATAAATGGTCGTCTAGGTAAGCAAGAAGGGAAGAAGATATAGAACATGGTAGAAAAAAACCAAAAGCAGACCTTCGTAACACTTCAGACTGAAGGGAGAGGAGAAGGAGACCCAATGCGGTGCAATGAATTAGACAAGCAAAGGGGAGACCCTGGTTTAAATCTGTCCTTAGTCATGGAAATTCACTGGGTCAGTTTGGGCCATACACTTGCTTTCAGCTCAACCCATCTGACAAAGTTGTTATGAAAAAAAAGAAATCTCTGCTTTGCTTAGATAAAAAGTGAATACCAAATAAAAATACTAAATTCTTCTAGCATATGATTTCTTAAAGCAGCTACATCTTTTCCAGAGATCATGTAACTAACCTTTGAAGCTGTAACACCAGGTAAGGTAGCACATTTGGTTCAGGAAGTTATAGAAAGGCACTACATTTAAGTCTGCATACACTGTACAGGATCTTTGTGCCCTCAAATCCAAAGTACCTCTCTAAAAATTCTCCCCAAAGGTAGTAAATAATGGTTCCTTAGTGTTCCAAGCAGACCAGCCTTCTGCAAAACATTGTGGGGCTTGCAAACCTCTTTCATTAAGTAGCCAAAAAAAATCTTTGCAGTAAGATTCCAATATCCCAGTTTTTGTTCAACTGAGATGCCATAAGGGCAATGGTCACAGATATGTGAAAACAATTAAATAAAAGGGATGAAACATACACCAAAGCATCTTATTTCCTTAACTCTGCTTCTAAAGCAAGTTTATGTAATTCATAGTGTCTGATGAAAGTGTTAGAAACAAACTATATGGCAGTCCAACAAACTTGGCTGCTTGTCAAGTCGAAAGAAGCACAGTCAAGGGCTGTTTGTCAAGTAGTATATACAATATATATTGAGTTTTGTGCACTGTGAAGCTTTGTTTGTTGAATCATCATGGCAATAAAATCTTTCCACCAAAGATTCAATGAATACAGATGCATTAAAATGCAGGAAGATATTAAAAAAAACTCTTGCTGGTGCTATTGCATATATACAGTTTATATCCATTGGTAAGATTTGAAAGAATGGAAGTAAAATTTAGGAATGAAAACATGACAATAATTTCCATATGAGATAAATAAATATTATTATTCATATCATCTAAGAGCTTAAGGAGTTGTTCTGATCCATCATTTTGCCTCACAGACAAAAAAACCTCCTACAAATAAATTAATACAGAAAAGGTATCAAAGGAGGTAACTGGTTTGGTTTGGTTTCTGAGACCATTACTTGGATAATTATTTCCGAAGACTCTGATAAATGTGCCTGGCAGAGTATCATGAACTTGAGATGTCTTTTAAATTGAATCCTGCTGTTGGAAAGTTTGAGATGAAAAGATAGAAGAAATTCAGATGACTTGTACACTACAGGAGTGTGTCAATATCAAGACTGGACCCTATTAAATTACTCAATTAAAAAAAGAAGAAAATCACTAAACAAATCGCTTTGTTATTCATATAACAACAATTTCAAAAGAAAAAGATTTTTTTTAAAAAAAGTTAGCTTTAGAGGGGCAAATATGTTTTAATATGTGTAACCTGAGATCAAATGACATAACTCTCATAATTTAAATATTGAAAACTTGAGGATACGGCTTGTTCAAAAGAACACAGCAATAGAAAGAATTGAAATCCTGCTCAGAAATCTAAGGGAGTAAAGATA